AACCGGTGCCAGCGAGTAGTTCCACCCACCGTCGCCAGCCGGCGCCACCATCACGTCGCAGCTCTCTCTGACCGAGCTGGGGCAGCTCTGTGAGAACGAGTCCGTCGAGTAACGGTGGCCGAGCTGTGCCCTTGAACGCACTTGACCCGGAGTCGAAGCCGGCCGGCCGGACAGCGGAAGCTTCTCTCTCATGACGTCATGGGACAGAGCGGCGGGCGGACCGCTACTCGGCCGCGCCCGGCGCTCTCTCTCTCTCTCTCTCTCTCTCTCTCGCTCTCACTCTGTCGTTCGCTCTCTCGCTCTACCTCTGCCTCGCTGGTATACACGCCTTCCTCAACGTCTTGCCTGGCGAGTCCGGCAACTCTTCATTCTTTATTTGCCGCAGTTCCTCAAATACCACCACCTCGCTCTCGCTCGTCACTCTACTCTCTCCTGTACCATCTCTCACTCTCTCCCTGTGCAGAGCGTTGACGGTGCACGAGCGGGCTGCCACACCCCCAGTTCTCGGAGTTAAGTACCAGTCCAGTTCGCTCTCGCTCTCTCTCCCTTTCGTTCAGTGCTGGACGACCAGAGACCGAAAGTCGACAGATCGGGATACCCACTCTCGCTCGTGTCAAGAAAAAGTCGACCGACCCGACGAATCTGTACGTAAGTTCCGTTTGAGAAGCATAAAAACGCCTAAACGAGACTCACTGAAAGTGATCAAGTCTCGCATGTGCTCGCTTCGATCGTTTCTCAGTCTTAAATCCACTTTTTGATCGCCAAGAATCATTCAACTTTGGTAGGATACATTCTTTAACCGACCACAACCACAACCGCTCTCTTCTGAAACTTCCGGCACCCGAAGAGCAATGCCCTGACTCCGCCTGAGCAGCGGCACACCACAAAACACCGCAAACCCTTCGCACCCGGCACCGCCGCCTCCCCATCCTTCCCTCCCCCATCAGCCACTAACACGACGCCGATGCCATTTTTTTCCAAACCGGCTCCTTCCCCGGTCGATGTCTGACATTGAACTCCTCGTCTGGACTCGGCTCAGAGCCGCCTCGGTGGATGGCTCGCCTCCTCTCAAGGTCTAACGATGTCCGGCCAAAGTGGCCACGTGACGGCGGGGACTGCCGACAGCACGCAGATCTAACTCCTGGGCTAGACTTGGGGAGATAGAGAGTCAAGCGTTGAGGATGCTTACTAATGGAGGGTTGCTGCGTCGCCGGTGTCATTCGTATCGCTTTCGACGGTTGTATAAATTACGACGGTGGTGAGGTTATGTACAAAATATATACAGGGTGTCCGGAAAGTCCTGGCGCTTCTTTTGGACGCCGTGTAACGCGCGCTGTGATTATTGGACATTCAGCCAATCATCACAGACATGACCCCTCGTTGATTGCTCAGCCAGGGGTCGTGTAAATATGACCTTGAAATCGTTTTCAGTGATGGGTAGATGGGCGAAGATGCGCCTTGTCGCTGAATGCCTGCGCGCGGCGGCCGGGTGCGACTTGAACGAGGCGCGAGTTGCAGCGCGATGCGGCGTTTTTCGATGAATGGTTTAGCAGGTAAAGGTTTATTTCGACTCGGGAATTCCTTAAAAAATATCCTCAGACCGTTTCGAACGCGATATGGGAACGGAGCAGCATTTCAACGCGGCAATCGAAGAAAGTGCGGGGGTCTGATGGACAAAAATGTCCCATCATCTTCGTCAATGTCGAATAAATGAATAACAGGCTGGCCCACGAGGGGTTCCTGGACAGCCACATCAACCCGAGGGTCAAGACGACATGCCCTAAGGGTCACTTCGCATTTCAACAGCACAGAGCACCCTCCAACAACGCCGCCGCCATTCAAGCTAAACTGACAGAGGAGCTTGCCGGGCCAGATCACCGTGGCGAAATGAGATTAGGCCGCCTTATTCTCCTAACCTGACCCGCTCGACTACGGCGTGCTACGCGTTTTGTAGAACAGGATCTAGGCCATTTCTCACCCCAACCTGGAGTCGCTGAAGACTCGCATCATGACAGCATGGGAGGACCTGGAAATGCCCCGCATCGTCAAAACCCGCAGACGCTTCCTCCCCTACGTCGAGGCCGTCGTCGGCGCCGACGGTGGTTACATTGAATGAGCACGTAGCGGAAGCATGTGGCTTGGTGTCCCTAGTCATTGTTTTGATCCATTGATTAGTATCTATGAACCAATGGCATTTGTTTTAGAAAATGTTGAAAAGCGCCAGAACTATCCGGACACCCTGTAGATTAGGTAATATTTGACAGCATCATAAAGTATGAGAGGATATGTCAAAGCTGGACAGGCAAGCGGACTGGCAAGGCGGGCAGCCTATGTAGGTGGGTGGGCGGACAAGTCAGGCGGGCGAGCGGGCCAGGCAGGCGAGTAGGCGGTCTAGGCGGGAAGACGGGCAGTCCAGGCGGGCAGACGGACGGGCAGACGTGTCTACCACCACCGTGACTCAGTCGATTTCCAAGGGCAGCACCGTCGTACCTCGTCGCACACCAGGTATGTCCGTCGCGCACCATCGCGCCTCCGCCGCCGCCGCCGCCATCGCCGCCATCACCGCACCAGCAGTACAGGAGTCGTGGCAGCAGCAGCAGCAATGACGGCAGAGTACGTGACTCACAGAGCGCGGAAATGACCTCCGGTTGAGTGGAGCTGACCAGATGGCCTCCAGGGGCACAACGCACCCCTTCTACCCTCTGCAGTGAAGGTCTTCGACGAACAGGCGTGGGGTGGCGACCAGGGAAAGGGGAGACAGGCACCTACACCACCACAACGTCCGGGACAGAACTTCAGCCACCTCGACCATTAAAGGGACAGTATCATCGAAAAAAAAATCAATGTATGGAGCTGATTTTTTTTTTACTAGCATTTCTTATTTTTCTGAATCAGAAAAACATAGTTTGAGGACCGAACTCGGTGAAAAATATTGCAACCACATTTCATTTTCATGATTCATTTTCATGAGCGAACCACCACTATACAAGCATGGCCGCCAGTTTGGAAGCATGCAAAATTACTACAGAACTGGCGCAGATAATACATTATTGACGCTACGCTTACGCGGTCGTTCTTCTGATTGAGTTGTCCTTAGGGAGAGGTAGCCTTAGGTATTGCCTATAAAAATATCACGTGACAATTGGAGGGAGTGACAATTGGACGTGACAATTGACAATGGGAGAAAATATCACGTGACAATCACGTGATAAACGTCATACATTGGAGGGAGATTGTGATTCAAGCTGGAGGAATTCCTTTGTTGAGCCGCTAGAATCCGAAGGAAACAGCGGAAATTGCCTACTACTATTTAATGAATTTAACGGTGATGAATAAGTGCGAAAAACGTTTTGGCTTTATAAAATTTGATGAAATGACCAGGGTAAAAGTTTTATTACTGGCGGTCAATTCAAAACGGCGCAAACATTTAAACAGTGAAGATAGTGAAGCACGATTCTGCACGATTCAAAGTGTGGTACACCTTTCGTACTTTGAGCGGCGATAGCGGGATAACGGTGTGGAACTTCGAGGATCGGTCTTCAGTTCCCGGACCAGAAAGGTGGGGCCTATGCAATGTCAAATTTCATCAAAATGGTGATACTGTCCCTTTAAACGACAGTAATAGACGGGGGAGCGCCTGTCGCTAGTGACATCTGTTGTCCACGGGCCCAACCACCCTTCGGCCTTCACCAAGGCAGCGCCGGCGCCGGCGGCGGCAACGCCGTCGCCGGGTGAAGCTTTCTCCGCTACTGGTCGGGTAGCAACCACCCCTCCCTCCGGGCGTCGAAATCCGACCGTCGGCGCCACCCGCACGCGGTGCCGCCACCGGCACGTGGCGGGTCTGAGCGTCGATCACCGGTTACTGAGTCCAGTCGGGTGTCCTCGAACGACAGCCGAGACGTTTGCTCCCGACGCCCCAGACTGAGACGCCAGAGGTGTCTCGGGACAAACTGAGACGAAGTGAGACGTTTGAGAGATGTCACGAGATGTCCCGAGGCGCTCGGAGCGGTCGGCGCCGGGTATCGAGTTCGATCATCTGAGGTCGTCGGGAGCGGAGCATCCATCAGGCAAGCGACACCAGTCGGTGTTCAAATGCTTCATCCAGCAGCCGGGCACACACGGACTGAAGTCACGAGCCAGCCCGAGTTGCAATTTGACAGATGTGCGTTGATGCCGTTGCAACAGTTGCATTTGGACGGCTCGAGTTGCATCATCGGAGCGCAGACCTTGCTACGTGGCCGAGACCTTGGTTTGAGTGCCCACGTGGCACCAACCACGTGAACAGAGACCAGTCACCTCTGGTTTGTTCGACCGTGACCCCCCGCCCCTCCCCACCGCCCTAACCTCCGCAGCTAAGCGCAACGAAAGCAGCGACGCATACGACGAAACAGACCAGTGAACCACGTCTGGTCTTTCTGCCTCCCTCCGGCGGCCTCAGACCACGTGACTACCCCCCCCCCCTCCACGAAGGGGTGAGACATCCGGCCGGGGTCCTGCCACGCCCTGTAGGGCCGATTCGGTTCAGTTCGGTCCAACAAACCCTAGCGACCGCCCGCCCGCCACCGTCGGCACGAAATGCACCGTGATAGGCACTTAGCTCGGAGTCGATAAGACACGGACTACTGCCCTTACTGCGGCGGCGGCTGCGGTAGCCGGTGATATGCATCAGTTCTCTCCCCTATCGCAGTTCCCCTCCCTCCCAAAACCCAGCCCCACAAGGTCTCGCCACTCCCAAGCTATATCAGCGGCGGTAGCGTCGGTGGAGGCGACAGCGTCGGTGTTATCGTTCTATGCTGCAATGCAGTCACTGGCACGCGCCCGCGATAACGCACGAGACTGTGACGACTCAATATTGACCGGCGTCTCTATCGGGGTCTTTACGATGCTAATTGCTAACTACATCGCGCTTCCCTTGTGTGTAGGTGAGTTTACTAGCAAAGAAAGGTAGGTACTCGTAGGTGCTTGGTGCTTTTACCAAGTACTTTGTAATCGGTACTCACCCTTCGTTCTGCCGTCTCTGGGTCGTAGCTGTCAGGAACATGATCTGCCGCCTCAATCAAAAGAAATTCGCCGTCCGTGTCCAGTAGCCTGGAACAGACAGGGGTCATACGAGGTCAGAAGAGGTCATAGAGGTCAACTGAGGTCACACAGGGTCAAGGGAAATGAGATGAGTCACATTGGCCGTATGCTATAATTCATCACATTCTTCGCACAGCTTGTCACACAGCTAATCAAACGAGGCACACAATGCGTCACAAAGACGTTCTCGGCGACAACAAAGGCGACCAGAAGCCAACACCTGTGTCCGAAGATCACAAAGGCAGAGTCCGCCGCTAACCACACATGCATGTGTATCAGCCGACTCAAAAGGCGGTAAGTGACCGCGTGACAAGTCCACGTGGAGTAGGATTCACCGCCAGGTGATGCTACGAGAATTTCTGGAACTCATGACGTAAATGAAATACCCATGCGAGGTAGGTAGTCGATCGGTATTATAATCAGTGCGGGCAAACGTCAGCTGGCATAAAGGATGACAGACAGAAGACATATGATGACAGTGGTGGCTGAGAAATTCAACGTAGTACCGTTCTCAGGATAGGAGGCAGAATAGACAACTTCACTGGATTGATTTAGATGCATCCGTTTTATGCACTTTTGGACATTTCAGTGTTTTACGCCTTGCCGTTCAAGTTTTCAATGTCCTACCAAACCACCCACTCCGCTATCGCGATAGCTGATGAGGATAAAAAAATACGACAGACGGAGGGGCTACCAGTTTCCTAAGGACCAGTAGAGGGCATCTATTTTTAGACGGTGCCACTTGTCTCCCACCAGAAATGCTGCTCTTTCGGTGGGATTAGCTAATATAATGCCTCCGACACGAGCTGAAGCATGCGATCGGTAAAATACTTGCTTTTCAAGGCAATAATAAACGTCAAGCAGAAATTTCACATCAGGACTGGAATCGCGGTACCTTGTTTCCGGTTAAAGCCAGTTTCTCAGGGACAAGGTCTCCTGACAGACTTACCCCTCCCTCCCCTAAGCCACCCCTATCAATTTCACGGCCACCGACTCACTCACGCGCAGCAAATTTGGTGGGTTGCGCATGCGCAATAGCACATCACGCAAAATCATTGCTACAGCAGTTGCAAGGTTACAGCGGACAGTCGAGCATAATCGTCATGGAGAAAAATCGATAAGTACTCAAGAAAGATCTAGAGAAAGAAACGGTTCTGAAATTCAGTTTGAACACGTTAACGGCATTGAGTGCAACAAAACTTTTGATTAAGTGAGCCAAATATGCACAAAATATTCCAAGTTTTAGGAAGCCCGGCATGCTCGCCACGGAAGTGGCCATTTTGCAGCGTCACGTGGCCGAAATTATCGCACCAAGACGGGCGACGGCGCCCGCCCGTTCCCCTCCGGTCAGCGCCAATGGACTTTTTGCACGAACATGGCGCATAGCTGGCACGCACCGAGACGAATCCGACGCGTCACGGCCCAGCGGCGACAGTCACCGCGCGGCGGTCTGTTCCCAGCGCCGGGCCGACCGCCAGCGCCGCAGGAGCCGCAGAAGTCATGCTGACAGTGTGCCGTGTTGAAGAGATTGGCATGAGGTTCTGCACGGTGAAGAGCCAGGTAATGAGCGTGCAAGTGACGTGCGTGTGCGTGGGAGCCGCTATTCTTAGAAAGAGATTATCTATTGCGGTGTCACGATATCCTGAGAGGTAATTTCATGACAGGAGATAATTTCTCATCCCAGCATGAGCCAGTCGGTCGACATCCTCCTGACCAATGAGTCCCCTCCACTCCAAACCTCACGTGTCACCCTCTCTCAGTAGCGCTCTCCACGTGAGTCCATCTCACTCCGATCCACTTTCTCACAAAGCGGCGTCCAACCGGGCGACGCTCACTCGACAGAGAGTGGTTCTCACCCTTCAGAGAGTGGCACTCACTGCCTGAGGGCACAAGCGGGACGCGACCCTCCGCTCTTCAAGTTCGCCTCAAGTTCGCTTTCCAATCTGACCATGCCCTGCTGGCCGAAAGCGAAAGTGGACGCTGCTTGCACACACAGAGCCCGGGCGACACTGGCTCGGTCCCTGGGCCGGTGAAATGCCATCAAGTCTCTCCGCTCGCCGACAGCTCAGGGTTTACGCCGTCCTGATGGGCTGGTATAGGACGTCGGGTGGTCCGTGAGATACCAGACCGTCGCTGCGTCCCGCTTGACGACGAGCGGGCCATGAAGTCGGAAGAGGAAACACACGCGCGCGCTCGGAGCGTTCACATGAGGTGAATGCCACTCTCACTACCGCTCCAGCCATTTCGACACCAGCTTACGTCAGCGCTGTTTTGATGCAAGACCAGCGACGTTTTCAATGCGTGTTCGAGTACGAGCAACTGGCGCCAGGGCTGGGTGATGTAGCTAGGAGGGGATCGTAAGGCACGTCAGCACCTCACAGATGCAGAAATGTTAAACTGCAAGATCATGTACATGGCAGAGAAGAGATGGTATTTTCGCAACATCAGGGAAAGTTGGCTGTGGTCTTGGCAGGTCGAGTCAATAGGGGGCACGGTTTTAGTGCTACAGGGGAACGTGGGAAGGGAAGGAGGGCCATTCCGCCTTCCCTTGCATATTTTGATTAAGTAATTTTGTGATTCTTTACGCCGTACTTTACCTTTTTGAGGATATTTGTTATGTAGGCTAATTCAGATAAAGCGAGAGCCTTTAGAGGTTATTGAGCTTCTAACCGATTTGTGTTGATGAAGGTTTTTTATTGATCCACTTTCTACCAACAAAGGTACAAGAAGTGAGGATTGGGAGCTAGGGCAAAATGTGTTGCCTATTACACCGCACCAGCCGTGACCACCCAACTCACTTCCGTAAACAGGCACGTTTCGCTCTGACCCTGGCCACCGACAAACAGCCCCCAACAAGAGTGAGAGTCGGCTGACCAGCCAGCCGCCGTAACAGTGACCTTCCCTTCCTCACCGGCGCCCGGCGACAACCACACGACGTTTCTCTCCGGCAGATACCGGCGTGCGCGTGCCGGTTCCCCGTCGAACCGCGGCTGGACGGCGCCGCTCCAAGAGAAACCGACCGGTGATGTAACCCGACACACTTTGCAATCCTGGTTAGCTACGAGAGCGGCTCTCAGCTGAGCGCCAGGAGGCAGCCGCCGCCCCGGGCGCCGCTCGCCCAGAAACACCAAGGTCGGCCGAGTGCGGAAGCGATGGAGAGGACAGGGAAAAGATAGAAAATGATAGAAGACATGGATGGATGGAGGGAGGGGGAGGGAAGGGAGGGGAGGGGAAGGGAGGGGAGGGCAGGGAGGGAGGAGAGACGGAAGAGTAGCGGAAATATGCATGAATAACAGATAAAACTAAAGAAAGAAAGACGAAGAAGATAAAACAGGGAAAGGTTAAAGACAAAAATGAATAACTTTTTGCTGTAAAAAGGCATTTGAGATTAAGGATGGATGATGGCAGCTTATCATCCGGTGGCTCGCCATTTCCAAAAACTTCCCTGATCTGAGGAAAAACACTACATATTCTTCTCACTTATCTTTGTTTACAAAGTCCCTCTCACAACATCACCTTCATCAGGTCCAGGCCCCGGCGTCCTAGCGCCTCAGGAGGAAGTCCTATTCCTCCAACCACTCGCCGGGGGCTCCCTGCCGGGGGCGCCGGGGCACCACTCTCATAGCCCCCCGGGGGCGCCATGTTACTCAACCGGGCGCCCGGGCAGAAGGAAAGGTGGTGCGCCCTGGCTACCAGAGACGGACACAGGGAGAAATCGACAGCGAAAGTGAATAGGACCGTCAAGGCCGTCCCCATGCCCCGGAAGACGCTGATGATAGTTGTGGCTCCTGACCTGACATGACCTGACCTGGCCAAAAGAGCGTCGGGCCAGCGCAGTTCCCGGAAGTTATAGACAGAGAAGGGTGGTAGCATGTGCTAAAAACCGGTCGACATTGCTTCACGCCGGGTTTCTGAGCTGGTGTGATGAGAAGTCCGCGCCATCACGCGCGCACCCTGGGTGGCACAAGAGAAACGCGTCCAACCGTCAGGTCGCTAAGCAGTACTATGGCTGTGTTAGCCACAGACAAGCAGATGGTCAAGGATGATCAAGCGGAAGACAGACAAGGCATCGCTGAAGACCATTCAAGCCAATATTTACCCCAAGGTCTATTTTCAGATCCATGAGATCCACATTAGATCCATGAGATCTACATTAGATCCATGAGATCCATCAACAGATCCAAATGAGATCCATGGAGACCCGATGAGATCCAATGAGCTCCACCGGGTCCGCCAAGGTCCACCGATATCTGCCAAGATCCTATAAGGTCCTGGGCGTCCGTCTCCTACACTGTCCTTCCTCCTGATCTTGACCCGAAAACTCCGAGTCGGGCGTCGTGTCCGGGCTCTCACGGCCACTAGCGGGCGCGGAGGCCGTCATCTTGGGCCTCTGACTCACCCAAACAGAGCTCGGTAGCCGACCACGGCGACAACACAACAGCGCAGGCGATAACGAACAGGAAACGCGACAATGTATCGAGGACGATAATGGCAGGGAAGAAATGCGGTGTGTGCAGGACAATGAGATCTTGGGACGAAATCTCGCACGTCTTGGTCATAGTGTGAGACGATGAAAAGGAAGAAAAACAAGACGCCCGTCACGACGCATGGGCTGATTTTAGCCCCAACCCGGACATTTGGGCGGTGTGACCACTAAGCTGGTCACAATGGAGGTCATGAAAGGGGGCTCCCCCCTAAAGACTCCCATCCAGACCAAAGCAACAACCCTACCCCATTTCAAACGAGGTCACAAATTCATCCAGCAAATACCAATCGATCTAAAAATACGCACAGAAGAGGACAGTGTGACCTAAAAAGCAAAAAGGAAATGAAATTCTGGGCTGGGTGACCGCCTCTGAAGGCTATTTCAAGTCTTCTGGACATCACAAAAGCTGACCATCCGGCTCCAATGAATGGTGGTTGGCCGATGGAGAAAGGGGGAGGAGGGGGAGGGGAGGGGACATTCACAGGACCCACATGAAGCTAATGAATAGAGGATCCCCATCGTCAGGCAAAATGGCTAATGGCATCCCGTCCTACCCGTCCCTCTTAGCGGGAAGGACATTTTTGCCTGTCAGCCCCACTGAGAAACGTCCCATCGTATCTTGAAATAAATCAAGGACACGGCTGTGGGAAGATGTCTCGAGATTTGACTGACGTTCGTTAGTCAGTTGAATACCGAACGCTACGTTTGATATCAGCGGGAAAATAAATTATAGGAGAAGCCGGCCGTTTGAGTTTGAAAATAGGACTCCTGGAAAGGGAACGTATCTGAAAAGGGAATGCTACCAAATAATGATATGACTGTGTCGAAATCAAAACCGATAGCATATGACTTGTAAATGCGTTAATCGTTTAACATAGTGTTCGTTAGACAGGGCACCACTGAATCAAGTCCCAAGGAAGCGAAAAGAGAAAAATTTCCAAATCAACGGGTGGATTCAATAGAAAAGCGATTATCGATGTGCGGTAGGGTCCAACCACATTCTACGGAGATTCGTTTTCACAAAAATTTTGCCGCATGAGATAGGTATTTCATGCATCGCAGCTTAACCGGCACCAAGGCACAGGAATGGGAACGGCAGCGACAACTTAATGTCGGTTAATTAGCCCAACTAACGGCGTCAATTTCAACGAATGTGCAACATTCTACGGTACATAAACCACATTCTAGCGGTTCTCACGAATGAATTTGGACCTCGGAAATAACTCACTATGGGCTACGAGGTTCCAAGATGGTAAAGTTAGCGGTCAGAAATCATGATGATAGAGCAGAAGGGAGGGGAAAAGAAAGAGAGAAAGAGAGAGAGAGAGAGAGAGAGAGAGAGAGAGAGAGAGAGAGAGAGAGAGAGAGAGAGAGAGAGAGACAGAGACAGAGACAGAGAGACAGAGAGAGGAATCCAGTGTGACGAAAGGGAAAAGCGATATAAAAAGAAAACGAGAGTGAATAAGAAGGCCGCTTCGCTGTATGGGGCAGCATATTAAATTTGGTTAAATATATAACTCATGACCGTCATTCTATCCCGCTAGCTCTTGCAGTGAATGAGCTCCTCTGACTACTCCGACTAATTCTCCACTTCCGTGAGCGCGACAACAAGCAATTGTACTCAATTAAACTTGTTGAAAAGAAATCTGGGCAAAGCATTAGACTACTAACCTAGCCACTGTGCGACACACTTTTGGAGCTGGCCGCGACCACTTGGTCGAGTCCAAGCCCAGTAGCGGTCACTGTAGGCTGTCACGGTCACAAAAGTCACACTCGAGTCACAGAGGTCACCGACCGGACGTAACTCGATCGCTGATTGGCCGACAGAGGTCACGTGGTCAACGCTGAGTGCCTAAGGTCAGGCTGAGTGATCCATTGGCGTTTTTTTTTGCGACGTTCACCTCATTCTCATCAATGGCTGGGTCAGATGCCGTACGAGAAATCAGAGCATCCGTTCAGCTCACCGAAAGGGTTTCGAAGATCGCCGCGATCTAGATTCGCAGACTGCTAAATTCTGGCGACGACAGTTAAGTCTGTTGATTCATCGACTTTCCAAAACGGGCGCTAGTGAAGTTCGCGGTCATGCCAATACACCTGGCTGAGTACTTGAGTGCCTCACAGGTGAGCTATGAGCTGTGAGCTATCCATGAGCTATCCGCGAGCTATCCGCGAGCTCCGTGACCGCGTCGGCGCACCAGACCGTCAACCCCGGTGCAAGTGCACCCGTCGACACCGCAGTCAGCCAAGCGGCGCGGTCGAGCTGTGCCAGCCGCCGAGATGCCGGCCCAAGCTCGCCCGGTCGACGTGGCTGTATGGAAGCCCAGCCCATGCCAAGCCTTGCCCGGCCAACTGTAGACACCGTTTCGGGACGTAAGGCTGTCGAGCTGGCGGCGTCGAGAGCTCACAGCTTTGGGCTAGCTAGCTCGATCCGGCTCGCACTGAACGACCCGCCATGGCCTGACCCATTTCCAGCACCTGGGTCGACCCAGGTGGGGTCATCGACCTTTGGCCATCGCGCCGGCCGCGCCGTGTCATGCGCGCATAGACGAAAACTCGCACACATAAACGCACACAGAAACATACACCAACACACATGATCAGTCACATTGACCTTCTCAACAAATGCAGAAAGAGGCATCTCATCCATGAGCAACTCACTACCATGCAAGCGTATGCAAAGGCGACCGTGGAGCTCGCATACCATATGCAGACGGCCTCCGCCGGTGGCGCCGGTAGCCCAGCCGAGTAAATAGGTTAGACGCGAGACGACCGGTAAAAAATGCCGACCGCCCGACCGGATGCCACAGTTATAATGACGAGCTTACGGAGCCGCCCGCCGCCCCAGAAAGCCGAGCTGCCGCAGCCAATGATGGCGGCGGCGGCGGCGGCGGCAGCGGCAGCGGCGGCGGCGGCGGCAGCGTGGAACCATGGAGGGCTTGGAGCGGGCGGCCGGGCAGCAATGGCAAGTGGAAGGCGGAATAATGACAGGGAGTTAGAGGCCTCTAGATTTGGGAATTGCGTATTCATTTTGGATGGCATGATTAAGAATGAATGATCGGATTGCTAAATAAGAGGCAGGAGACGGACGTTGGTTGGACAAGTAATCGTGTTACGTAACACCCAAATGCCTTTCTGGTAGGTAGTTACTCAAATTTTGCAACAAAAATTGTTTAAACACAATAATCAGCACAACATAATAACTACATACACCGCAATTAGAGCACAAGCAAAATTATAACACACAAAAACGTAACACAATGACAGAAAAGCCGAACATCACGCACAACAAACGCCAACGAAAAAAAAAAAACAAGAAACCATGGTCACGTGAACGTGTTAACCTGTTACACAACCACCAGATGAATGGAAAACTGCAAAAGCTTCGTAGCGCCTATCAAGTTGCAGGTACACTAGCACGTAGCTGCACCGACCTCCTATGCACGAATGAATGGAATGGCAGGGGGTCAAAGGTTAAACATGATTTCATATCGAGAGGCTTCGCAGGATGTGGCAGATGTAAGGTAGATTCGCAGGTGAGATATCGTCTTTAAGACGATGCTAACTAGCTCTGAACGTTACCCCGTCGACGTGAAACGACAGTTCTGGAGGCACTGATCGTATGTGAACCATGGATCAAACACAAACAAAAATCTACCCTACCGCTCAAACTTCAACAAAAATTCCATGCGGACCATGCAAATCCTTGTGAAAAACTGGCAGAAGCCAGGACAAAGCCCGGCAATGGCCCGATTCTGTCACATTATGCCGCAAAATCATGTGAATAGAGTGACAGCCATTCGGTGACATCCTGTATGTCTCATGGAGGCAATTTTCCCCGCTGCGTGCCTTGAGCGGGCGCCTTTGCGGTGCCAGGTATGGGCAGCCGGCCGGGAACGATCAAACGGTCATTATGAAGGCTTCGTCAATGAAAGAACGCGGCTGATAACGTTGTGTACAGGATGGAGGATCTAGTGGACAGACTCGGGAGTCGTACTAGCACGATATGGTTACGAGGTGACTCGTTCCCTACCGCCGACCATTGGTGACCCATTGGAGGTTGCAAGAACAATGGCTGACGGTTACCGAGCCGTCGTGCACTATGGGAATGATTTAATGTTTAATGTTAACAGCACATCGAATCACCTGACAGCGCAAACAAACCAAATGAACATCAGTAAGCGCAACCGTTAAGCCTCGCGTAATTTTTCGCGTTGGAAACTGCATGTTCAAAACACGTTTTCCTAATGCAAGAAAAGCGTTGGTATGCATATTCTAACAAAAATGCTAAACCAAATGGCATTGTATTAATGGACGCTACGGTCGCTACAGGCTTTAGCCAATCGATGAGAACATCGCGGGATCGCAAATCGCAATACTTTTTCACCGAGCCATGTCTGTAGGAGTCTGGATCTCTGATTTAGCTTGGCATCGTGCACCGGGAGCCATGCAGGTGGCAAAGTTCGTGACCAGGCGCTCAGGGGAGCCTCCGTGCAGCACACACCATCCTTGTGAGCCGGACAGGACGGAGGACTACTTGTCCTCTCTTCAGGGTGGGTGGTTTAGGAGGATCGGTGCGGTCTGTATGCTTGTGAAAAGTCGACTTTTAGCCATACAGAAAGATGACTGGCGTTTACCGATAAGGCCGCAGAGGTGGAAAAACCGTCATTGGAAACAACTGTCACCAAGACCGTGCGAGGACAATAGCGAAGAAAAATATACAGAAGTTGTACATTTGGACATACTTCTACAGTAACAGCTACTCACAGCATCTCGACGTCAACTTTGGAAAGATATGTACCGTCACACCCACTCACATCAGCTAAACGTCAACACCCCACACTTCTCTCACCCACAAACGCACACCCTCTCACACATTCTCACCCCGTTCTTTCTCACGTGCTTACCGTCACCTGCTGAGGAGTTTCCTCGACGTCCCGAGCGGGGCGTCGAAGGATGGGGGGATGTCGAGCCCTCATACCCGCGGACTTGAGCCCAGGCAGGGCCGCGAGGAGAGACCTGCAAGGGAGGGCGCTCTCAGACTCTGAACTCAGACTCTCAGACTCCGAACTCAGACTCTCAGACTCCGAACTCCAACCTCGGTTGTGATTCAAACTCCAGCATGTATCTGTAGATTCCAATGTATCACAGCTGTCTTTTAGGACAGAGACTATCGCAAGTGAATGGTGAATACATCAAATACTTTCTATGAAACTTGAAAGATATCATATTAACTCGAATATGATGAAGATGATGAACAAAACAAGATTCGGCCTTTCCCCAAAACTGACCCTCACCAAGCTAACTGACCTGGCCCACCCAACTTTCTGAACAACTCTGAGCAACTCGGAGCGTCCACCAGACGGCAGGCCACCGAGAAAACATGCACGCGATTGCGAAACTGCAGCGCGTCCTCGGTATCGGCAGATCACCCTGTTGGTGAGAGCAGCTAGACGCTGTCTGGCCCACCGCCACACACGGGTTTTGCAAGAGGCGGAGGCCTGTCCCGACTCTGAGTGCCCCGTGCGACACAGTGGTCCTCGTTAGGAAAGTTGACATTGCAGCAAGTGATGGCTGCTCTCACTGGCACTACATGCTGGCATTATGTTGGATTATCGTGTGTGTTGCTGAACGTTCGATCTAGCTGAAGGAGAGTTTATGGTTCATGACACGATCGCCTACATCATATGGCGTCGTCAAAACTGTCGTAATCTTCCTGAATGGTTGCGCTTATAAACTGCACAGCAACAACCTTGCGCTGCTCTTTCTTCCCGGCTTTAACCACTCATCTGGTCACGATCACTCGCGAAGCTATCTGCCCACTATCCATAAATAGTACACACCAGGCCCACAATTAACCCTGAACCGTGATAGTCCCAACCCTGCAGCCTACAGTCACTATTCTACTCTACACTATCACATCCCGCCCATCTATGTTCCCTCCCTTGCCCACACCCTCTCCTCCACTCCTCTCCCCTCCCCGTTACTCATATCTAATCCCCTATCTCTGCCACCCCTCTGTCCGCCGTGAGCCGACACAAACACGGAAGTCATATGACCTCGTCAGTGGCCATCTTCAGCCCAGCGCCTGGCCAGGACTGCGGCAAACTGTGTCAATGTCAAACGTAGACCCCGGCGCCTGTCCGCCGTGCCGCCGCCGCCGCCCCGCGCCGCGGCCGGCCGGCCAGCTCGCCAACGAGGGAGGAGCGCCGGACGCCGAACCGGCCACGGGACGGCTGAACTTGACCCGATGGAGCGGAAGCTCTCCGTGGAGCGAGACGAGGCTTCCGCGCAGCCCACGAGGTCACTGAGCTTGCCAGTGACGTGGCGCTGTGACAGCGATCACGCTCGCGGACGCCGGTTTTTGCACAGGGACCAGCCTTCACCTACACTGGGCAGCCGGACAGCGGCGGCGCGCAGCATACAAAGAGGGCCTCGAGGACTGGCCTTTGCTCGCTGTGGACGAACTAAGCAGCTCGCGCCAGCTTGGTGGTCACCAAGGGCGCCGGCACGGAGAGCCATCAGATGACGGCAGCGCCAGCAGGGACGGCGGCCCCTGCAGCAGTGCCTTCTCAGAATGGATGTGTGCGAAGGTCCCCGCGCGCGATTCGTTCGGCGCTGGCTGTGCAACAAGGCCATCCGGAGACTCAGGGTCATCTAGCTGCCCCCGAGGCGGCACCGCCGATGCCGTCGGCGCGAGGCCGGCGCGGCGCCCGCTAGAGTCTCAGCGTGTCGCCGACGCACGCAGCGGAACGCACAGGTCATGGAGGGTCATCGGCCGGGGCATAGAAGAGCCTCGAACTTCCGCGTGGCGGGAGGTCAGGCGGCCGAGATGCGCCGCCAAAACACGATCGAAAGCCAGACATTCCTAACGGACGCCTCTCTGCTCCCGCCGCGCCGCCGAGTGTCCCGCGATGACGCCCGGCCACGATGACGACCGATGACGCCCGCGGCGCAGGGATGACGCCAGTGCAGTGTGCCGGCGGCTGTCCGGGGTCAGATCAGCTGTTCGGAGAGCTGACCACAGTGCGCGCGAGCGACCTTAACCTCATTCAGACGGCGCGCGCAGGGCAGCTGCTCTCGCGCTTAGTTTATTTCTGTTGCGCGCCGGATTGGTGCTCCACTGCCCCGCCCCCTTTCCCCTCCCTCGTGCGCCCTCACTCCCGCCCCTCCATCCCTCCGGGCCACGTGACTAGCAGAAATCACCGCGAACATCCCCGCTTCGCTATCTAAATGGCCTAAGCACGTTCTCCCACTAGAAACCCCTCTCCCTGGCAAAGGGCGTCCCACCAACCCTAGCGGCAATGCAGGAGAGAAATCCTTGCAAGGCCGTGCTTTTATTGCCGTAGGCTGACGAAACTATTCTGCCTATTGCAAAACACACTACGTGATCATGCCACAAACCCTTCCGCCCAGCTATGCTAAGCGCCGCCCGATGACGGGCTGGATGACGCCCCCAAGGCAGGGTCCCTCGGCCGAAGTCGGCACAAAAACAGCGGAAGTCTCCCCATCGCCAGCGTAACTGTGATCGTCTCCCTCATTTACCGCAGATAATCGAGGGAGCTAGTGACACCCCTACCCAATTAGCGGCTCGAAATGTACTCAGAGCTTCCGTGTCATTTAAATGCAAAACTGATGAGATGTATTGATGGAATGATCCTAATGCCCACTAATTACTATGCTTAACTCCTAACGACAATCAATTTTGCATACGACAATGCTTTCAGTGAACTGATACAATATGATGAAATGAATTGGTACGAACATGAAATCACAATAGTTGAAACTAACTTAATTAATCCCCTTCCCAAAAACCATTCACATCTAACATCTCATTACGGCAAAAAAAAAAACGCCGATAAATGTTCATTGTATGCTTGGCACTCTCATAACAACCTGACATCTCTCGGCCTACTAGCCACTAAGTCCCAACCGACTCCGAATACCTAACGATACCGACGATCTCGACCACACCGACGAACGTCGGCAGCCAACGACGCCGACGCGGGTTCGTCGACGTCGACGCGGGTTGGTCGCTCACCTTTGCTGCGGCAGATCCAGCAAGTGCAGAGCCTGTGGTGACCCATGGCGTCGGAGTACAACTACGAGAGTCAACGTTCGTCAACAAGAGACCTTGGGGCGTGTGGCCACGAGCGACTGTGAGCGGAGCGGAGCGAACCGTGCGCTGTGTTCGGAGACCGAGCCGAAACTGACTCCAGCGGCCGGCGAGCCGAGGAGGAGTAGTGGTCCCGACCGCCCGGGGCGGCACCGCCGGACGCCGCCCGGCCCTGACCGCCGCCACCGCCACCGCGGCTCGGCGGCTCGGCGGCGGCGCGGGCGGTCACTGCTCCTCCGGTGGTCGAGCGGTGAGGAGCCTCGCGGAGACAGGAGCCCCGTGAGGATCTTCGCGGTCTCACCGGGAGACCGCAGAAGAGGGCCGCGGAAGGACATAGCGGATTGAATCTCCGGGGCCCCCCGGAAGACAGCGGATGGGACACGCGAACGGGAGTGGGGATCGAAAGTCTAAGCCGTCGACGACGTCAACCGGGGAAGTTCGATAGTGGGATCAACTCCGCGTGGTTCAGAGATGGGTGAGACCGCAGCGGAACGGAACTCGACATGCCGAGCCGATAAGAACGATGCACTGCTGGATCTGATAGTTTGCGATGGAATGAGAAAGAGTTTGTCGAGTAGTGTTTTGAAACTGAGTCATAACGGTAATAAGAGGAGACGACGACATCGAACTCACAACTTAGCCACTTTTCAACCAAGTTCTTAAAGAAAAACATCAACACCAAGCACCAAAAGTTGAAACAGATTCCGTTGTCTAAAACAGCACCCACTCAACCACAACTGTTCCAACAACAAAAATCTAACAGCAATCCACTCCTTAGGATGCGTAGTTCCATTGCACTCCTTTCTTTCACTTCTTTTTCTTACACTTCTTTCTTAATGAGAAGCAGCATCTGATAAACGTTTTAATGTGTCGCCGTTCATAAAATCCTCCCGCGAGTCACATAGTTGCTGTCTCTCCCATGTTCTTCTCCCGTGAGATCAAACATCACATCCACCGAAGTCTGGGACTTTCCTCATCGTGACATTTCATTTCTCTTCTTACTTACGAATCTTAGCCTGACAATTTCCGAGCTCCCATGTTTTCTTCTCCATATATTCCTGACCTCACACCGCAGATCTGCTGACATCAAAGCTCCGAATCTACCAGTCGAAAACACACTTGTCACGAGTCACAGAACCACCGCAGTTCCCCGCTTGCAGTCTCGTATTCCTACGTGACATCGTGAGTTAAGTAGGTACACAATGCAGTGACAATCAAGGTTCATACAACTGTCCACATCCCCAGGCCGCTGTTTTTTTTTTTTTTTACTTTCCAGCCGTTGCTTGCGCAGTGAAGCAGCTAGATGCGTCGTTGGGTTCATCTTCATTCTTCAGTCATGGCGATCATGCAGTCTATTCCACCTTGTTCCCGACCTGAATCAGTTGTTGGCAGCCTGGCAGCGGGCGCGTGGACATGTTGGGGTCTTTATTGGGGTGGAAAGCGGCGGTAAGAATCAGTCCAACATTGCGGGTAGTCATACTGAGGTCAGTATTGGCCGGAAAAGGCGACAGTAGAGGTCGTTCACTGGGTCAACAGTTGCGCTGTGCTCCTGGCGTGGGGCGAGTCACACTTCCCGACTTCAAGGAGCGGTCGGGGTCAGGGGTGAAGTACCCCGGGGTTGGCGAACGATAGGGAATGGAAAACGGTACGTCGGTCAGCAGCCTCAAGCAACCGCAAAGATGCTACAACATCGCGTCAACGGACAATACAGCACACACACGACTCACAGACAGCACACGAGGCACGAAACGTGCACGAAACTTTCAATGACACAGCAATGACGACAGGACATTTTGATTTCAGTTCACAGCATACATTTGCGAGGCAGAACGATGAGACATCATAGAAGAATGACAGCCTAAGTCACGCATCCACACAGGGTCAAAAAGACATGGAACGACTT